TTCTCGTAAGCCTACTGAGACTGAGGTGATGCGGCGGTTTGTGGTATTCTGTATCCATTGCAACCATGGATTCCATGCAAATCATGCCAGCGACTGGTTTAAGCGGCATAGGATCTGTCCTGTGGCAGAATGCAACTGCATCTGTGACCGATGATGGTCTTGCTGATTTGCATTGCCCCTTCTGAGCCACGGATTATATCGCCTGTCTTTCTACAATATTCTATACCCAATTGAGTCGATTTATATGAGAACAAGAATAGTCGGCCACTTATGCGGCCTTATGTCTTTTTAGATGCTCTTTTTAGATGTTCTTTAGATGTTCTTTTTATATTTCTGTTTAGGCGTATAAAGCATACCTTGTGTAAGAGACCTTTCTACATATGATCTTTAATAATGTCCACGTACTACCTATATGATTCGATTCATTAAGACAACAACCTACAGCAATAAACCAGAGCAGCATATCGAACATAAACAGTATCGCCCTCTAGATCGATTAGCTGACTTGGGTCATACCGGACGAACAATTCTGTTGGCACTGTGTCTTCTTCCTCAATGGCCCACACGGGTGAATGTTGTAAAGTGAGTATCTTGCCCTCGAAGGAAGCTTGTGTGATTCTCGCCCGTTTTCCAAGATAGCAAAAGGCTAAGCCCTAAAGATGAGTTAGATATAAGCTACATACTGCAAAATACTAGTCAGGAAAGGTACGCGTTTGTAGAGCCGCATCCGTCACTGAGCTTATAATAAATTGCCCCACCAAAATATCATTCCCCAACTCCCTCAAATTTCTCGAATGGATCACCAAAAAAACAACAAAGATAAGCGGGGACGTGGCCATGGCCAAGGCCAAAGTCGCGATGTCCAAGTCTCCAAAGCATTAAGCTTGCTTCTGCGACATGCCGCTGAGAAGGAAGGCCTGAAGATGAACGCACAGGGTTATGCGAGCGTGCCAGATGTGGTATGCAGCTTTGTTGTCTATGTTCTATAGCGTACAATATACTGACTATGCCTATGGTCTAGTTAAATTGGAGGAAACTCAAATCACTAAAAGTCACCTTCCCCGAAATTCTCCACGCTGTCGACTCCTCCGATAAAAAACGCTTCGCCCTCCTCCACATTCCATCCACACAACCCACCAAATCCACAACCCAAGCAACAACAACACCGGTAACAGACCCAGATGCAGAGCATGAAGCTCCAACTGTCGTGGGCGAAGACCAGCCTGCGACATCCGTCTTGGAATCCGCACCCGCCACGAGCGAAGCCCAACAAACAGCCACCGACCAAGCATTATCCGTGAAAGATACTGATCCGTCGAACTTTTTAATTCGCGCGACACAAGGTCACAGCATCAGGACCGTTGACGCTGCCTCTTTCCTCGAGCCGCTTTCTTTGTCCGACGAATCGAAACTACCCGATACCGTCGTCCACGGCACGTTCCACGCGACTTGGCCTGCGATCCTACAATCCGGTGGACTACGCTGTATGGGACGGAATCACATTCACTTCGCTACTGGCCCGTCATTGGAGTCGGTGCTTGCTGTTCACAATGAGGATGCCGCGCGGGGTAAATTGACCCCCGACGACTCTCGCGTTATCTCGGGTATGCGGCGCGATGCGCAGGTTTTGATTTATATCGATGTGCGCAAAGCGCTGGAGGCTGGTGTGCCATTCTGGCGCAGTGAGAACGGGGTCATTCTCAGTGAGGGCATACCTGTCGCGAAGACCGGAGAGCCTGAAAAGGGCGAGGCGCAGAAGTTCGTCTCCCTGGACTTTTTCGATGTGGTCGTGGAACGCAAGGCTGGGCTGGGTAAGCTCTGGGAGCATGGGGAGGTTCTACAAGAACTTCCGGAGACTCTTACGAAGAAAGGGAATCCCAAGGGCCGGCGATGAGTGGTGATACGACACTCTGTAGGGATTATCATATCCAGCTGAGCTTTTTGTTGTTCAGATCGACACAGACCAGCACGGGAAATACAAATGATTCTCCTTCGAACCGTCTACACATCCACTTCGGACTTGGACCTAGGTAACCCCGAAGCCTCCAGCCCTGTAGTGTTGATTATAGGGCTGAGGTGATAGGGTCCTGTCAAGCTGAAGCTGGAGTATACTTAGCGGGTTATCTTACTATAGCGCTAATTCCAGCGGCCAAGTTTGTATAAAATGTAACTTATACGTCGTATTGAAGGCGAGAAAATAATTCACCAAGCTCTCCACAGGGTTCTACCCGACTGCGGGGAAATCGGAAGCGCAACCTCTTCCGAACTCCAACCGACTTGTCACTGCGCTCTCTGCACATCCGATACCTCCAACCCCAATCATGCCATTGGCACAGATTTGCGGGGTCATCCTTGAATAAGCGTCATGTTTTTTGGTCAGATTTGGTTGGATGACAGACTGAAAAGTCCCGTCGGATCACCGGGGTATATAACAGTCTCGTAGATTTTCAATAATCGCATCTTCTCTTTTGGAATACTCTCTCCTTCTGTATTTGGTTGCACTTGGACATCTTGTATCCCAATAGACTGATTCACGCGCAACGATGGCGACGCACCGCTTCGATCCCACCTTCACGGAAAATGTCATCAACGCGATGGGTCCCAAAACCACCCCGCGCATGCGGAAGCTCATGGCCGGCCTAATAAGACACATGCACGACTATGCGCGCGAGGAGGAGCTCACCGTCGACGAGTGGATGGCCGGCGTGCAGATGCTCAATTGGGCAGGACGGATGAGCGACGACAAGCGGAATGAGGGACAGCTGGTTTGCGATGTACTGGGACTAGAATCGTAAGCCAAAGTATTGTTTGCGAGAAAAGTCAACAGCTAATGGATGTTTGTTTTCACAACAGCCTCGTCGACGAAATCACCTTCACTCTCGCCGAAGAAGCACAAGATGCACCCACAGCCACGGCCATCCTGGGCCCGTTCTTCCGTGCCGATACACCGTACCGCGAGAACGGCGAGGACATCGTCAAGACGAAACCGGCTGATGCTGAGATGACCTTCATGCACGGTCGCGTCATGGACTTCCAGACCAAGCAGCCTCTTGTCGGTGCGACGGTTGAGGTGTGGCAGGCTTCTACAAACGGGTTATATGAGCAGCAGGACCCCGAGCAGGTTGAGTTTAATCTGCGCGGCAAGTTCAAGACGGATGAGGATGGAAAGTACTCGTTTTATTGCTTGCGTCCGACGCCGTATCCCGTTCCGAACGATGGTCCTGCTGGCAAGCTTCTTGAACTGATGGATCGTCACCCTTTCCGTCCTGCTCATATTCACATTATTGTAAGTTTTTACCCTGGTATCCTTGATGTCGGGTTGTTGAGCCGGAAGCTAATATCCTGCCCAGGCTACCTATGATAACTACCGTCCTTTGACAACACAGATCTTCGACCGCAAGGGTAAGTACCTTGACAATGACTCTGTGTTTGCTGTCAAGGACTCGCTTGTTGTGGACTTCGTGCCGCGCAAGGATGATCCTCAAGCTGCCATTGAGCTCAAATACGATGTTAAACTGGTGAAGTTCGAGACTAGTACCAATGGCGCATGAGCGCGCAGCGGGATTAAAGTAACAATTTGTGATTTTCGATGTACTTAACGATAGCGGCATTAAACATAACCAAGATAACCAAACAAATTTACTGGCATATCCGTCGTTCCTTTTCTAAATATAGGCTCTTTCAAGCATTCACAGCATCCGCAAACTTGGCAATTAACCCACCTACCTCATCAGCAGCCTCAATACAATGCCAATGTCCAACCCCCTTCAATACCTCCAATGACTTCTGCTTACTGGAGACATGATCAAAGATATGCTGGCACCCCTCCATAGAAGCAGACTTATCCTCCTCGCCCGCAATAAGCAGGAAAGGCGCCTTGACAGCAGCGTAGTCCGCCGGTTTTGCGGCAGCAATAGCACGACACAGCGCCGCATAACCCTTAGGATCCTGTCCCAGGATCAACTCCCGAATGAAAGCCCTTTGAAGCGGGGTGCTGCGTGAACCGACAGCTCCAAAGGGGATGGTATTTGCCATTGGCTCGATTCCAGCTGACAGATAATTTAGCACATTTGTATGAAAATTCAAAAAGACACGCATAAAACAGAATTGATCAATCAGATAGACTAGAGTGAGGAAGAACTTACACTCAAGAACAGTCTCCGATCTCTTATTCATGACCGTCACCAGGGTATCTGACGGGTGGGTCGGCCCAATGGCTACAACGCCCTGTACGCGGCCGGGATACCGTGCGCCTAGCTCTGTCACTACGAGTCCGCCCATTGAATGGCCGACTACGACGGCCTTGGGGACATGCAGCGAGTCCAGCACGCCGATGACATCCTCTGCGATGCCAGGGATCGTGACTGTGTCATTGGTGTACGGGGAGCGGGCGGCGCCGTATGTGTCGATTGTGATACAACGGTGGAGTTTTGTAAGATGCGGGATTACTGGGTAGTAGTAGTTTTGTGAGGAGCCCAGGCCGTGGATGAAGATGAAGGTTAGGCTGGTTGGGGTCGGAGGGCCGGCGGGGTGGGAGTCGGCATAATGGAGACGGTGGTCATTTGCTTGGACGAACGGCATTGTGGATTGGGAGTCCGATGGGAATGGGCTCAATTCAAGACAATGTATGAAGGAATGGAGGAGCAAAGAAGCGGGCAGGCCTGGAGACTTATGTTGTATAAGTGTAACGTCATTCCCGATAAGATTCTGACTACAATAATAAAATATACAAGTGTACACAGTGTTCTAAATCCTCCAGCCCATTTCTGGTCATTCTGTCGGAACAGTTCAGCTCTCAGCACTTACTCCAAAATATTTGAGACTCCCGAACCGAAAGGGCTTCGTGGTGTATCCGAATTGGCCGGATATCACCCGATTGTCGGTCCGGACCCGATCCCCATAGTGCCAAGACTTCCTTAGACAATGTACGAATAGGAACTCCAAAGTTGGAAGACTTGCGACAAAATGCTGCTGAAGCGATTTACCAAGTTCAAATGAAATCATTGAGAGTGGTTTGTATTGAGTTCGTCAAAAGGGTCGCCACTTCCATGTGCAAATGCTTCTTCAATCCAATCCGCAGTCTCGTCTCGAAAGGAATCTCCAAAAGAGGACGCCAATGTGGGTCTACTGCACAGTCGATCAGACAAAGGAGGCTGTAAAAGGGATGTTTCCTTGGGTGGAGAATGGTCTTTCGTTCCAGTACTATTTGTTTGTGTAATAATAGCGGCTTCAGCTTCAAGGAAATCGGCGGGGTCGTACTGGAAAGATTCCCCGAAAGATGATTCTAACTTGGGAGGTTGCGGGTAGGGTAATTCATTAGGTATAGAGGGTTTCTTCGTTTCTTCGTCAATCGCTAGCGTGGTAGCAGCCGTCTCGGCTTTCTTCATAACTTCTTCGTCGTCGAACGCTGAGCAGTCCGAGAACTCATCATCATCCTTGAATGAAGCACTGGTCGCGGTGCCGATATCCTGGCCTTCAGGCTCTTGCAGGATGACTACATCTTGAAGCTCAGATAGGTCATTCTCCAATTCCTCATCCAAATCGTCAAAGGCATCCGATTCAGCTTCTGTATCTCCGCCCTCGCTCCCCAGATTGTCATCATGTGATTCGATATCCGTAACTGTAGGCGCAGGCTCCAGTACAGCAGGTGACTGTTGCTTTCCGGTCCCTAGGAACATTGACAGCAGTGGCTGACTCGATGGGACGCGTGCTGCATGGGGATCCGGGATGCCGCGACGCTTCCGCTCCTCACGGGCCTGCGCCTCCTGCTCAGCCTTCCGTTTCTTGTTGGCAATTCGTTTCTTTTCCTTCTCGCGTAGCTTCTTTGCTTTCTTTTCTCGCTCCTCCTCGCGATCTAGCCGTGCAATCTGGGATGCGGTGAACTGGAATCGTTGGTTGCTGCGCTGGTACCGACGTTTAACGGTCTTGGATTTCTCCAAAATGATGCGACGCGGCTCATCCGGCATAGTGGGGGCAACCGTGGCAGCGACTGCCTGCTGCTTGTACGATCATGGGGATGGAGGGCCTTGGTGGGTTGTACCAGAAAAGGTTGGAAGTGACGATGTTGTTTTTTTGGTTGGCGGTCATACGTTGTGCCGACCGCGGAAGTCAACAAATTACCGAATTGGGTACACCCTTTCAGAGGATTATTGATCTATATTCAGTGAGGTTTTTTTGGATGCTTGGAATTTGATTCCCTAATGTTATTTATACGCTAGGCTTTTGCTAATTTGGGAACGTTATTTTAGATCTTGCAGTCACGGACGGGATCCCAGCAGACGGGCTCATACGTGTTGAGCTTCAGGCTGGCCATGTCCTCATCCGACAGTGTAAAGTCGAAGACCTGCGAGTTCTCTAGAATTCGAGACTCGGTCACCGACTTGGGCAGGGGCACATATCCCTTCTGCAAACTCCAGCGGACCAAAATCTGAGCCTCGCTCTTCCCGTGCTTCTTAGCCAGGTTCTGCAGAACCGGCTCCTTCATGCGGGTCGCTTGCACGAGGGGAGAGTATGCCTCGACAACGATGTTGCGCTTCTGCAGCCACTCTGCGATATCCTCGCGTGGGCACCACGGGTGGATCTCGTACTGACCGACAGTGATTTGTCCGCCCGCTCCGCTCTTGATGTACTCTTCCAACTCCTCGAGGTGCTGAATAGAAAAGTTGGACACACCTAGTGACCGGACGTGGCCTGCCTTTTGGGCCTCCACAAGTGCGCGCCATGTGCCGAGGCGGCCCTCCTTACCGCCGTAGGGTGCGTGAATCAGCAGACTGATGGCCATAGTGTTAGTTCGCTAATCCGCGTTGCTTTCCTGAGAACAAGGAGGTCCATACAGGTCAATGTAGCCAAGGTTTGCCGCAGCGATGCTTTCCTCAATGGCCTTCTTTGCCTTTTCGTATCCCATGGATTTCGAGGGCACCTTGCTAGTATAGAAGATCTGCGAGCGATCAAGTCCAGACGCGCGGATGGCGGCGGCACTTTCCAGTTCATTTCCGTAGACCTTGGCGCTGTCGACCTGTAATGGGATGGTTAAAATCCGGAACAATTGCTACTGGAGTCCTACAGTTGCTTACATGGCGGTATCCGAGCTCAATGGCCTTGCGGGTTACTTTCTCGGTAACATCGGGGGGACTGGTCAAGAATCAGTCAACATAATCTGTCCGCGGGCATTTGATACAACGATAATCATACGTTTGGTAAACCTAATTCCCAGGATAAGTGTTAATCACACACATCAGAACTTCAAGGGTCAATATACTCACTCCGAACCCAACGACGGGGATCTCGTAGCCCGAGACCAACTTATAGGTAGACTGCAGCGAAAGAGGGGCCATGATGTGCGAATATTCTGATGGTTTGAAAGGAACAAGAAGGTAAATGAGGGGGGGTTAATAGATAAAGGATTGGACATCCACGGACCACGTCGGTCCAGCAATTTCCGCCCGTTTCTTGGAGCTTGACGCCATCTAAGTGGGGATATACTACATCGGGGACTAGATGTGGCTATATCAATGGCTGATCAATGCGACGTGGGGCTCATATGAGTAATTGACGGATATAAGGGACTTAGAAGGAAAAGGAAATAAGAATTGTCTTTTCAGTCTGCCCTGATAGGACAATGGAGATCGGATTGGACTTTCCCTGGAGACTTTGAAGCTTTGACGTCAACTTTGCCCCAATCTGATCTGATTAGGGTCTGGTCTTATCGATAAGGAATAACTGGTGAATATGGCGGCGCAGGGTAATTTTCATACTTGATATCATATATTTTGGAGGCCTAGAATATCAGAAAGTTGCTATTCCCTGACAACCCATCAACGACCAAAATTGATCTCTTAGAATGAGCACATCAGCAGAGCAAGTAAATATTCCTACAGGACAGCTGGGCGGTAATACAGGGCAATATTCTATAGTGGGGTTGAGTTTGGCAAGTTCAACATCGTCAATGCCCTCGGGTTAGGTTGATTTGCTCGAATATTCCCTTCTGCAGGAGCATTTCAAAGCTCTTAAAGGCTTGATCTGTTTTCATACAGCCCTGATATTCCTCCAATTTGCGCATTTCCTAGGCAACATATGACGACATCGCCATAACAATCTAACCCGCCTTCATCGCATTTTACCTTCCCAAATCCTCAGCCTATAACCGTGCAATATCACCGCAGAAATGCGTTGTATCAAGAACAAAATTGAGCACAATGGTTCTGGGGCGGTTACATTATGCCCGGACGAGCCAGAAGACATGGTATCGAAGCCCTCACTTCCCGTCTCAGCGCCTGGCAGTCATCTAATATACAATCCGATAAATCTAGTGGCATGCATACAACCTGATCCGACCAGGCGATATCCTCCGAGCCAGCGCAATTCGTCGAGTTACCACAGTTCAGGATACCGGGTCCACGAGCTCGGCTCGCGTTCATCTGAACCTCATAATTCGCGTGAAGAATCTCGACTTTGATCCGCAGAGCTCTCAGCTCCATGTATCAGGACAAATTATGAACGAAACAGCGCACACAAAAATCGGACAATTCCATACCCTCGATCTGGAGTTAAATCGCAATTTCACGTTAGAGAAAGAGGTTGGGTCAGATGGAGAAGGTGTCGGGTGGGACAGTATTGCAATTGAGTCACTCAAGGATGCTGTGGATGAGGGCGGGAAGCGCCGTGCGGAGGCTGTCGCAGTAGTGATGCAGGAAGGACTGGCTCATATCTGCTTTATTGGTCAATTCCAGACAATATTGAAGCAAAAGATCGAGATGTCCGTGCCGCGGAAACGGCAAGGAGGTGGGGATCATGATAAAGTGGGTTCCTACTATTGTCTCAGTGTGTCTTTCGACGAGGTTAAAACTTACACCGCATACTTTCAGGGAATGAACAAGTTTTTCAAAGTCACACTCGAGACCCTTCTTCGACAAATGGAGTTCAATACCAGTCTTACTTCAGGCGCCAACAACGAAGCTGTACGGCCCGTGCTTCTCGCCTCGCCCGGGTTTGTCGCCTCCGGCTTCCAAAAATACATTCAATCCGAGGCATCAACAACAACTCCTGGGCTCAAGCGACTTCTTCCCAGTCTCGTGGTTGTGCACTCCGCATCCGGTTACACGAATTCCCTATCCGAAGTTCTGCAGTCGCCCGCAGTTAAGACCATCCTGGCTGATACTAAGTATGCCCGTGAGACCAAATTGATGGACGACTTCCTAGAACAACTGCGCAAGGAGACCAACAAAGCAACCTATGGTCCCCGCGAGGTTGAGTACGCGGTTGAACAAGGTGCTGTCGGTCGAGGTGGCGGCGTGCTTATTGTTTCAAATCGCCTGTTTCGATCACAGGACATCGCTGAGCGTAAACGCTGGGTGTCGCTTGTGGATCGCGTCCGCGATGTTGAGGGTGGTGATGTGCGAATTCTCAGCTCAGATCATGAAAGTGGAAAGCGTCTGGAGGGGCTGGGTGGCATTGCTGCGCTTTTGACATTCCCTCTTATTGAGCCAGACCTTGACTCTGATGCAGAATAGACGGGCCATTCAACGGGCCATGAAGAAATAGAAAGATTTATTATAACATATGGCTAACCAAAGCATGCAATATTTAGATGAACAGCATGCCTCCCATTGAGACTTTCTCAATAAATCCAATGCAAATTTTGTCAGACCGTAAATGAATGACAAAACCAACCACCAGCCCATGAGATGTAGAAAATCTGGCGTTTGTTACGTGTTTCTCATGGTATCTATCGTCCCTGCCTCCATGGCAGCTCTCACCCAACTGTCTCTCCCCTATAGTTCCTTGAACCACCTGTCCGCGTTCGGATAATTTTCGAATATCTCTTTCCACTTATCTGCCTTCAAGGCCGCTCCATTGGGCAAGTGAAACAGGTCAACTAATGTCAATTTATCCCCGCCAAGATCTTGTCATAAACGTCGTTGTTATCCGGCCTTTTAGGGTCGTTTTCGATGGCCGAGGTTTTATCCAAGTGATAAATGATAAGTATGGCAAGTAGGAACCCTTTCATCGCGACCGAAATTAGTGCAGATGTGGGCTTGTAGGCTTTTTCTCGCAAATGTTTTCGTGTGCCAGCTTCGGTAAGATAAATTAGAGAAAGAAGTCAAGACTCGAAGGTTCGATTTAAATATTTGCCCGTGACCTAATCAAGCCAAGTGTGGGATGACCTTCCAAGGTCCGACGCCTTCGACCCTTGGAAACAGACTAGATAATAAACTAAATGGGATCTCATATTCAAATCAAGAACTCGGCTCATCAATGATCTCCTCGGTCCAGAATGAGGTACAGGACCAACAAATCAGTCACAATTAGCTTTGGGAATTCGACGCGTATACGTTTGTTCCTCGAAAACTTAATTGTCCCAAAGATACTCCAGGAGTATGTATTCATACCCACGATGAAGACACCTGCCCAGTGGTACCGCTGTTATCTTCTTTCCCCCGGATCGAGGTCCTCAGAAGGCCCAGACGAAGTGCAGTATCATCATCCATCACTTCAGCCAGGGTTGCCAACTGCGGAGGGGCATGTGAATATATAGAAGGACCGCGGGTGGCTTGATTGTTTCTGTGATCATTGTACCAAAACTGTATGCCTGCTAATCAAAAGGCGAGAATTCAAAACAATGCTAGAGTATAACTTCAGAAATGGCGCAGAGGTGTTATTCCATTGCGGTATTCAACTTTCAACCCATGTCCCCTGTCTGTATAGACAACACGTCAAAAGAACTGGTTCAAAGTCTCCGAGATGTTCATTGGTCCCCTGTCTTTCATGACTGCTCGCTTGGCAGGGCGATCTCCTCTTTCAGGTGGCTCACTCCGCTTCTTCTCCCTTGCATGTTGCTGTTTCTCGATATCAAGCTTTTGCTTCACGGGATCTCGGGTAAACAATACAATTGATTTTGAATTATAGCGAGAGCGCACAACAACCCTATCTCTTCTGCTGTGGTCGGCAGTTGGTAGTTTGAACTCCA